TGACTTTCCCGGTAAAATGTGATCGGCGAGGTAAGCCAAAAGTGGTGCATGCCAGCAGGCTTTGGCATTATCCTGGTCCAGGACATTTCAGTTGGGACGAAGTGGAAACTGAAAACGTGCCACCTGAAGAAGCCACCATCGAAGAAGAAACTCTACTCAGTTTTGAGAAGGGAAACGGTGAAGCTCTTGGTGAAGTTACTACCACTGATGTGACTGTTACCGATGATGGGACATTTACTGATGAAGCGGATGAACCCCAGATGAAGCAGAAGCCAACGAGACGGAGACCAGTACGGAAGAAGATACTTCCCGTAAAATTAAGAGACTTTGTTGAATTGTAATTTTGTCTTTGTAATTCTGTACAGTTAATTAAGTTATTAAGTTAATTGTTATTGGTTTATTGTATGTGGTTATTGTTCGGGACGAACAATATTAAGGAGGGGGCAGTGTTTCGTCATCGAGATCACGTGACTATTCTCACGCCCTCTAGTTTCTAGAACTATCTTGTTTCTTCATGAATGCCCTAACATTTACTAGATAGGGTAGTCTGGTATATATATAAGAGGGTAACAACGTGACGCAATAATGTGTGTGTAGGTAGTGAGTAATTGAACTGCAGTCACAGGGTATTGTTGAAGTTAACGTTCGTTCGTTATAGTGTTTGTTTTAGCGCGAATATTTAAATTAAGTGTATCGTAAAGTTATATTCGGAAAGAATAAACCAGTTTTATTAAGTAAGGACTTGTGTCGTTAAAGTTTCATCGGAACGAAGTTACGGAAAGTTAATTAACAAACGGAGACGTAACAATATAAAATGCCCTCAGAAGGCGATAAAAGCACCAATAAACACTAACTAAAACCAATCATCACACTAAAACTCGCACATGAATAATAATAAAGATACACCAATTTCAAGAAAAACCGATATACCGTTATTATAATTATCTGTTACACGACATTGATAGTATCTGTTTGTTGCGACTTTAACCTAATAATTACCAAATTATCATTATACTTTTCTAAGCAATGGATTTAATGCTTAATTTGTAAGTTAAAGGGCGTAGAGCACATAGAATGTTCTGTGGATGTTTTTTATTATATTCGAACATACTTAGGAAATACGGGATGGTTATGAAGAGTGTGGAATTGCTACGTCTCTGTTCGTTTATTAATTTCCCGTAGAAATTCTTCCCGAGAAACTTCAGCGATACAAGTCCTTTCTTAAATAAAACTGGTTTATTCTTTCTGAATATAACTTTGCAAACACTCAATTTCCACAGTTACTTTAACTTCAACCCACGCTATAATTCACAACGAACGATTCACGCACTTTACTTACTGCCTCGCTTGACTCAATTGTCCGTCTCTATCTCTGCCTGTCTGCAATTCTATTCCGATTCATTGCCTGGCGCACTTATATACAAGAATAGAGGGCGCCTAGCAAATACTGGATTATTAGTGACGTTCCCAGATCTTTCTAGAACTCAATACGTGTTACCAGCGTCACATGACTTCCGCTGTCATAACATAATGTTTTCAAGATAGAATTAACTATTCACTGTGTAAGTTACCGGGATTATTTTCTACTAGTAAGCTGATTTGTTTTACATTACTTAATTTAACGTCAGTTGTGACTTAGGCCTACAGTAACTTATAGAAGTATGCAAGTGATCCAAAGTATAAAAACGAAAAAGAGGGAAATAAAGTTAATTTAAAAGGACTTGCCAACGAGAAACCTGCGCTACTACAATACGGTTAACTACATGTAATTTTACAATTATACTGTTACGTCTTCGTTTGTTAATTGATTTTCCGTAACTTCGTTCCGACGAAACTTTAGCGACACAAGTCCTTACTTACTAAAACTGGTTTATTCTTTCCAAATACGACTTTACGATAC